TTCTCAAGGCTATATATGACAGTACATACACATATATTATATAGTATATAATAGAGTTTTATAGATAGCTTAGTGTAATGATTAAGTGTATGGTCTTTAGAATCAGAATGACCAGATTTTGAATCCTACCTCTGCCAATTGTTGACTACACAATCTTGAGAAAGATTTAATTACTCCAAACCTCCATTTCCTTATGTGCAAAATGGGCACAATGATATTACCCAATTCACAAAGTAATAATAAGGAAAAAATAAGATCATGTATGCAGATAAGCATTTAGCATAGGCAATAATGTAGTATATGGTCAATAAATGTTAGCTATTATTTTTATAATTTTGTAAGTAAAATGCTTGTATATTCATATGGCTTATTATGTAAGTAATTAACAGCTATTTATAGCTCTGAGTGTGATTTGACATAATCTATTCAGCAATAGACTTTGTGGTAAAAATATCATAAGATATACATCAAAATATATTTCAGAAATTTATAAACTAATATGTGCTAACATTCTGACATATTCCCAATGTACAGTATTTGTCATATTTTAGAAGTGAATATATATGTATAAAAAGAATTATGATTATTATGATAGTAAACCTTTCTTAAGCATTTACTCATCTTACATAAATAACTCCCACAATTAAATGAGATAGGCACTATTGTTAATAACGTTCACATTACCTCGGTTGGAGAACTAGACTTTGTGAGTTGAGTTACTTACTAAAGGTCATTTAGCTAATCAATATTAGAGGCAGGATCCCAGGTCTGTCTACATCCAGAGCCTGCCTTCTTCTTTAAACCAATATGTTTTATGACAAAGAGACACCATGAGGAAAGTTAACAGATGGTTTTAATCAATGGCCAGGATAAGAGTAGCAATCTCCACTTTAAGGCAAGGAGAGGATCAGTGAAGAAAATACTTTTCTGTTTTTGTGACTTAAAGCATGACAATAAATAGGCTTAAATGAAGGCTAACTTAGGTTGGAAGGGATTCAAATGAGTACAGGAGGCAGGTGGGAATAGTGCTCAAAAGATGCTCCCAATTTTTCGAGTTCATAATTTTGATTTAATTA